ATTGCATGCTTATTAGATGTCGTCTTATTTTCCCTTGCTAAGGTTTGAACGACCGTAGATCATATACACGACTCTTCACGTAAAGGAGTGGGGTCAGGTGTGCCTTCAGCAGCAGCAAATTAACACACTGGATTAAGGGAAGGCACTGGTGGTGAAAAAAAAATAAGGGGGAAATGGAAGAGGCCACACATTCACAGAGGACTGCACCCGAGGAGCTGTAACTGCACTCCGGCCTCGGTTAACTACTGGCATTAATAAAGCAGAGCCATTTCCAGATTAAAAGTTCACGCGGCAACCTTGGTAGTTTAGCGCTCCATGGCCAAGGTTTGTTCTCAAAAATAACAACCTGCCAAGGAACTCGCTGGCAGAATTGGGTTGTGTATCTGGAAGCACAACATCCACCCCAGCAAAAGCAGGACTCGGGCCACTCACAGCGAGCCGGGGACCGTACGCTGACACCGTACGTCCTGGCACACGACCAGACGCAAGACCTGCACGAATGACTCCTCGGTGGCAGCTGAGCTCACACCAGAGTCTCTCATTTCACAGTAAAATCACTCTTTTGGAAAAGCAGCGAAAGCAGTTCCGATCTGAGGTGGGTGCGAATTTGAAGGTGGGGAGGGGGAAACATGAAAAAAGGCGTAAGAAATACAGATGAGTCTCAGCCTCATTCCGTAAAGAAGGGGGACTACACCATCATGCTGCCTCCCTCTCCTCATGTTATTTTTGCGCCAGCTCATCTTTTTCAGACTAAATGGAAGGAAGAATAAAAAAAAAAATAAAATAAAAAAAAAAAAAATCAGGATTACCACATGGTTCCTTTCAGAAGGAGAAAGCTGTGGCTGGGAGGGCAGAAAGACACTGCCAGGGCTCAGGCTGTTAGTTCTGCCGGCCCCAGCATCTGCTGCGGGAGGGAGCCGGGCACCCCAGGCACCCTAGGGTAGGAGCTGTGCATGGCAGACGCAGGGGGAAGAACAGAAAATGGGGACTAGTGAAGAGATGGGATTTCGCAGCATGAGGTGTGGGGGTGTGTACCTCACATCTTCAGGAATCAGTTTAACTGCTCACCAAACAAGGGAAAATGAATTCTGATCGCGCGGTGGAAGACAGGCTGCTGCACGTCAGAAGGGTGGGACTCACCCACTGCTTTCCTTTAGAGGAAAAAAAAAAAAAAAGAAGCAAACAGAAGTAAGTTCACAAAACTTTCCTTTTTATTATTTGAAACTGGAAAAAGCTCCTTGGGTAACAACGATCAGGTGTAAAAGTAACACAGGCGTTTTGCTCGGCTTTCTGATACCGGAGATAAAGTAGGCCAAGCATTGCAAAGTCATGCCTGGCTTTTATACAGCC